CTCTCCGCCGCACGCTGCGCTGCGCCACGCCCCGGTTCTCCAGACTGGCGGCGCGGCGCGCGGCAGCCTCCATCGCGCTGATTGCCCGTGCGATTGGCCACAGTTTGACACGGGGGTCGGGGAGTCAATCACTCGCCGAGAGTGTCGCGCACGGCGAGGCCGTCGTGGCGGGATGGCGGCAGGGTCAAGGTGCTGCCAACCTAAAGACGAACGAGTTAACGGTTGACGTCAGTGCTCCATCAGGTTGGCGAGACGCTCCGCCCCTGGCTCTGTCCGTTTGTCGGGCCCGCAGACGACACGTCGAAAAAAAGAAATGGTCCCCCGTCCATTCTAAATGTTTTGTTGTAGGAAAATTTGATGGAAACCATCCAATTACACACACGCGCCAGCCGGCGAGCCCGAGCGGTCCCGGACCCCGCGCCGGGCTCGGCTCGTCTCTAGCGGACGGGATGCCAGGCGATCCGGCCCGGCCAGGCAGGTATCATAAAACTGTAAAAGAAGAGCATAGGGAGTCGCTGGTCGCAGGGAAAGGTCACGGAGTCTGACGAGGCCGAGCCGATCCCTCTCATTGGAAGCTTTGGATTCGCGGGGCGAGAAGTCTGCTCGAGAGAATAAAATGTGTTGTAGGCGCTGCTGGTCGAAGTTGGGCGGGGCCCGTCGCGCCACAGCCCCCTCCGCGACGCCCCCGCGGCGGCCGCGCCCCTCAACCCCTGGCAAGACTTACCCCCACCAGCGCCGTCCGGCCCCTCAACTGCAACCCCCACCAGCTCGTCTGGCGCAGCCCTCTACCCCCACCCTGCCGACGTAGCGTAGCGTACCAGCTGACTGACTGACTGGCTCTCAGACTGGGTAACCCGGCCTGTCTGGCCCACGGGCTCAAGCCGCCCGCCCGCAGGCTGGCGCAGGCTGCCGCAGGCCTCGCTGGGGCCCCGTCCGGGCGGCACCGGCGCGGCGGCCGGGCCCCGGCCCGGACCTGCAGGGGCCCACCGTGCCGGGGCCCGCAGCAGAGAGAGAGAGAGAGAGACGTCCGGGCGGCACCGGCG